ATGCAAATCTAGAAATCGATTCTTCGCCAGGCTGCTTCCTGAAACATCCTGCTTGGCTGCTGCCCGCGGAGAGGCTCTGGCAGGTGGACTGTACCTGCGCCTGCAGGCTGTGGTGTCTGTGCCGCAGGTGCCCTCTGGCACTGGCGCTTTTATAAAGGACAGCTCAGGAATGTCACTGTCACATGCCATTGCTGCACTCACGAACAAAAGGGGCACCTGGCTTTGTTCTATTCTTTGTGGAGGTGGAAAGACAGCAACTATTTATCAAAGACTTCATTTCCTAGAAACGCTCTGCTATACCTGTTTCAGGCTTTCCCGGTAGGAGAGGAGGGGCAGCAGGTCCAGCTGGTGTACTGTGTGTCTTTCGCCAACAGTGGTTGATTCATGGTAGTTGCTATCATTGCTCTTTTAAAACGAACCCCCTGCATCCCAGTTCCATCCAGCCACTTTCCAACTGTTGCATCAGTTCAGGGTCATGGGGGAGCTGGAGCCTATCCCACCAAGCAATGGGCACAAGGCAGGATGCACCCTGGACAGGATGCCAGTCCATCGCTGGACACACAGACACCACCGACAATTTTCCCACCAGCATGTCTTTGGACTGTGGAGGAATAATAATTGGACCCTTGTAGTCACTGAGGTTTCACGGCAGAGCAGTCAAGGCTGCAGGGTCTCTGCTGACCCTGCTGGGATATTACCTCTGTGCTCCTGCTGCTCACATCCCCGAGTCGCAGCTGCCCAAAGCGAAAGGATGCACAGAGTCACGCGCTGCTCACGGCTCTTCTCTCCACCTGCAGCCGCGCTTCAGTGTCGCTGCTTCTCAGCCGTGAAGCGATGGTTTCGCTCCTTTGTAGAGAGACAATCAGATGATAGATGTGCACGGTTTGCAAGCATGCATACAACTGCCATGACTTCGTAACTTTCATTTTCCGAAGCATGGCAATCTTTTCATTGTTTTCTGGAGATCTCAACTTTCATTTTTTAATCTCATTTTCACACTGTAATGTAAACAGGCGCCGTCCTTCTGAGACGTAAAACTGAGGTTCTGACTCTCTGTGATCATTAAAAATCCCAGGGCTTTTCTCGAAAAGAGTAGGGGTGTAACCCCAGTGTCCTGGTCAAATTTCCCATTGGCCCTTACCAATCATGGCCTCCTAATAATCCTCATCTATGAATTGGCTTCATCACTCTGCTCTCCTCCCTACTGATAGCTGGTGTGTGGTGAGCGTTCTGGCGCACTATGGCTGTTGTCGCATCATCCAGGTGGGGCTGCACACTGGTGGTGGCAGAGGGGATTCCCCATTACCTCTAAAGCACTTTGAGGGGGGGGCCCAGAAAAGCGCTATATAAGTGTAAGCAATTATTATTATTATTATTAAAATGAAAGTCTTTGAATTTTCGTTGCAAGCTGCTCAAGAACAAGGACAGGCCTTCAGCTCATCCGATTAAGCAATTAAGGGCTCGATAGGAAGGAGAATATACAGAGCAGCCAGCACGTCTTGACATCTTTGGGTACTGGATGGGAAACCAAAACACTGTGCACACACAGAAGGCACCCAGGTCTGGAGTTGGAGCCAGGGCCACAGCACCGCTGACCCCTGCACCACTGTGCTGCCTCTGCGCCCCAGCCCTGGCCCTGAAATGGGCCTCACTGAATGTCTGCTCATCCCCACTCAACCAGAGAGGAGAGGATTGTAGCTCCTCAGGCAGCAGTAAGCATCCCAGTCCAGAATAGAGCCAAAGGAACCCAAGAGCTGTTCTCAAAATGAATAAAGACACAAACTTTTTGAAAGGGAATGAAATAGCCCTCAGCCATAAATAATAATAACCTAGTAAAAAGTGAAACTATTCAATTACAGTGGAACCAGATTGAAACTGACAGATGACTCAGAGGAGAAGAGTCCATCATTCCACAGCCTGCAAGCTGGAACAGTGAGCTCCGAGCCTGAGCTTTGCTTCTTCAGGAGGATGAGCAGAGTGGCATCTTAGGAAGTGAAATGAGCCCACATTGGCCTCAAGCTTCACCCCTCTAAAGGAGAACAAGGTGAGAGGGACGAGAAGAGTGCAGGCACTCTCTTACAGAGAGAGGAAAGAGATCACCAAGATACATTAATGCCCCAGAGTCTGACCCAATTCACGCACCCCTTGGTAGTTCATGAACAGTCAAGGAGTGATAGAAAATACTTATCGATAACATTGATAATCACTTAACCTTGATCTTCACACAAGCACTGAAGAGCTTATATACACCTATTAATACACTATTAAATACAACACCCTGAATGCCTATTCAGTGATCAAGCACACATTAATGAAAGAAACCAAAAGCTCTGTATTACAGTCTGTCTACTGGAGGTATGTGTACTGGCCAGTACATCTGCACTGGCCAGACATCACTTCCTAAACCAAGTACTTTGATTGGCTCCATCAGAACCAGAGCTCCCATTTGCTTGTTTCAGGTTAAAGAGTGGGTTGCCTACAGCCTCTGAACCAATAAGAGAAAGCACACATTTCTAAATCATTTAATAATTAACCTCCAGACACAGGCAAACCAACCTATCAAATAATATTGAGACTGTGACCAAGTAAACAAAGAGATCGCATTTACACAGAGGGCAGTGGGAGTGTGGAACAAGCCTATACCCTGAAGTCTTTCAAAAACTGACTGGATGAGATCCTGGGATGAATAAATTACTCTTAAACTGGCCTAATAGGCCATCTGGCCCCTCTCATTAGTAACTGCTCTTATGTTTTTCTGAAATACTCATGTTGTGAAAGAGCAGCACAGTGACTCAGTGGTCAATATTGCTGCATCTCAGCGCAGGGGCCCTGGGTTCCAGACTTGGGGTGCTGTCAGGGAGAACACACAAGCTCCACACAGTGTTCGGGGGTATCCTGTGGGTTAATTAGCTTCTGAGAAAACTGGCCCAGGTGTGAGCGTTTGAGAGTCCTGCCAAGGGTGTTTCCCACCTTGTACCTGGTGCTTGCTGGGATTGGCTCCGGCTCCCCCTCACCCTGAATTGGATGAAGTGGTTAGAAAATGGATGGATAGTTTTGTCCATATTCCACTTTTAAGCGTCTATTCTTTAGACCAATACACAAGTACCTGTCTGAAAGGAGAGTATATCAGGATCTGGCCTCTATGTTAATGTCATTATTCTCTTTCACATTCGCCAGCATTTGGAAGACAAACCCACAAATGTTTACATGCCAGTATCTTATTGTGATGCTGTGAAAATCCCCTAATGACCAGGTAGAGCTCAATAGGAGTGGAGTAACAGTCATGAACGGCAATTTACTTGTTACCTAGGAATCCCCCTGCAGAACACAAGAGCACAGAATGGGCTGTTTACGGGTTTAGTTATGAGGAAGCTGCTACAATTGTTTTCTTTTCATAAACTAGGTGTAACCTGATTGCTCATGAAAACAAAACAACACCACTTTCATTTGCACGCTACGATATGGCGCATTTGGAGCATTTGGGTTTCGTGGTGGTTGGGATACTTAGGGCTTTACCAGTAACGGGTCCAGATTCTGAAAGGTGATGACCCAGCCAATCCAGCAGGAGGTGTTTTCCAACACGGTCCAGGATACAGAAGGAGATGGAGACAAGTGAAAATTGCTCTTGGTACCGACCTGATCCGCTCCGACCCCACTCCTCTCTCCAGTACTGACCTGATCTGGGCCGACGCCGCTCTCCTCAGCACCGGCCCAGCACCACTCAGCTGCAGAGGTTTCTTAGGCCCTCAGACTCGTGCCAGAAGCAGAGGGAAACGGGAGGCGGAGCAGCGGAGAGGAGGGTGATGAAGACGAGCTCTCCTTGCGCCAGGGCAATCGCCTCTAGAGGGCACTACTCCACTCCCATAAGCCTGCGGGAGGAGTCCCAGCGCTGCCGTTGTCGTGTAGAATCAACTGACACCACAACTAAAACTGAACAGCTGACCAGCAGGGAAAGCTAGCCTGATCATTATATCCACACACACACACACACACACACACACAGCACACCCACACACACGCACCCACACACACACGCACCCCAGAGACACCCTCCTGAACACCGTCAACTGAGAAATAAGGGCTCCCAGTGTTGGGACATGGGAATCGACGTTTAATCTGAGTGAAAAATACAGAACTGATAGAAAAGGCCGGTTTTGCAGGCCAGGCAGCCGCTGGCCAAGAGTCACCGAGACTGGAGTCTGAAACACCGGGACCCGGGCCCACCGCACAGAACTCGGGCCGGCTGAGACACGAGGAGGAGGGGCAGCAGCCTTGTCCAGGAAGAGCAGCACGTGCAGGTGGCAGACGCGGGCCCGGACCTGGTCCCGGTCCCAGGCCGGTTCAGTTGCTGTGGACCAGGGTGATGAAGAGGAAGAGAGAGCACAGAGAGATGGCCCCGGTTAGCACGGCCTTCACCAGCAGAGCCGTCCAGCTGCCCAGAGCAAACAGGTGGACAAACAGCCTGTGGGAGAGAGGGAGGGAGAGACCCTCAGCGGTGCTGCGCAGTAACACTTCTGGACAATGTTCGAACTTGGACATTTACCTGCACACCCAGCGGACTAGATAGCCAGCGGCAGTAACGTCCAACCTGCTGCCTGGAGGTTCACAGCATCAGAACTCATCGCAGTGTTTAGGGGACAAAGAGTCCAGACACCCCACTGTATGGGACGCCAGTACGTGCTGGTCCCCACTCCACAGCTGGGTGGACAGAGCAACTGGGCTAAAGGGAACCTGACCCCCCAGCGACTCCCAGTCACTGCTCTGCCTGGCCCATGCACCGTGACAGCAACCTGAGCACTAAAACCCTGCCTGAGCCTGAGGAGAGGAGAGAGTGACAGGTGGAGGAGGGAGAGAGGGAATGTGGGAACAGAGAGGGGTTCAGGAGGAGAACAGAACTGTACAGGAAGAGGCGGTAGAGGAGGTTTGTGTCCTTAAGGCACATAACAGGACTTCAAGTGTAGCACAGGCCCTGCTGAGTCCAGCTCTGCCCTTGGTGACCTACACCTACATGCAAACGAGGTATTCAAGCAGCCCACAGCTCTGCCCACCCATCTCGAAAAACATCCACTGCATTTACGTGAAGAAACGCATCGAGCAAAAGACTTCGTCTGAGGCTGTCTGCGATAACGGACCATAACAGACAGCCAACCTGCACCGAGAAGGGGAGACATGGCGCTTGGAAAAGAGGCTGTGAGGGTCAGCGCGTCAGGCGTCAGGACTCACTCCATCAGGAAGGCCTTGTAGACGGACAGGCCCAGCAACACAGCCACGGGGAGCCTGAAGCTCTTGGGCAGGTCATAGCGAGTGAACATCCACACCACTGCGGCCATGGCGATGTAGTGCACCTGCAACACACACACCCCCCCCCCCGTCAGACAGGCCACCGCCTACCCCCGCCCACCAACGATCTGGGGCATGCCAACCGGATCAGAGGGCGAGGGCTGACGTACCAGGCTGATGTTGGAGTCGAAGCTCATCTGAATGTACTTCCAGTCGAACTCGATCCCGCGAGCGCCAACCCAGAGGGGAATACACCTGCCAGAGGAGGAGGAGCGGAGAGTGAGGAAGGTCTGCACAGCGTGTGGAGGAACAGTGACGCATCAGGACGAAGCCCAGTCAGTCTCTATCCAGATGTGTGCAGTGGGCAGAGAGGACACACAACCTGATGATCATACAGCTTGATACGAACAGCACTGCTACTCTGGATCTATACAACAAAAACAGGGAATCAGCAAGGAGCACCGAGCTCTGTCCACTTACCTGGACATGACCAGCTCCACAGGGAGCACCGAGCTCTGTCCACTTACCTGGACATGACCAGTTCGGCAGTGGCCCAGCCCATGGCCGCCACCATGATTTTGTACTCCCCCTTCCCAGCATTCCTGGACATCACAAGGTGGAGTCCCAGCAGGTCGGCCAGGTCCACTGTGGCCTTCATGAACTCCTGGACACAGAGGAAACCCAGACAGATAAAACCCTTTGTTTTGCTGCACCACACCATCAACACAGAGAACATGGTTTCTCTCACAAGAAAGGGCTGGGTGAGTTCCTGGGATCAATAAGTTACTAACTGTACCAAACAGGCCAGATAGCTCCTCTTGTTTCTAACTCTTACAGTCCAATGTGAACAAATCTGAATTTTATACAGTTTTGCACTCATATCCTGTGGGAATGAACCAAACACTGACAAACGAATTAATTTGACTTTTAGACTGAGGTTTTGACATTTGCAACACTGTAAAATAAAAGTTCAGATGAGATGCAGGCCAGCATCATTATTTCAAATCTACTTGAAACTGTTTTTTTTAAATAACCAGAGTAACTCTTTACTCACCCCGACGAAGTCATACACACCAGTGCCCCCTTCCCAAGTGGGGAAGAACGTGGCCAGGAACAGCATCTGGAACAGGGAGATAAGGTTTGAGAGTTAGCAGATCAATACAGGACACCAGTATGGCCAGCGGGGCCTGTGCTACACTTGGCTCCCACTAGGGGGAGACATAGCCTCACACAGGCCCTGCAGAGTAGATGAGTCCTGTTATGTCCCTTAAGGACACAAACCTCCTCTACCACCTCTTCTTGTACAGTTCTGTTCTCCTCCTGAACCCGTCTCTATTCCCACACTTCCACGGGATGAGAGGAAAATGGACTTGAACTCAAAGCAATCAAGGAGGGAAAGATTGCAGGCGATCTGCGGTCTTACCTTACAGAGCTGTACAAACAGGTAAGTGGCCCCTGCCTGCACACATCTCCAGAAAGCATTATACTCGGACCTGAGAGAGGGACAATGGAGAGGTTAGGAGGTTATTGAGGTTTCAGCTCTGCACGCTGCCCTGAAAGGCTTATTACCCTACATGCCACTGTGTGCAATGCAACACAGGGCACCTCGGCGGCACGATGACTCTTTTTGTCACCACTGCCTCACAGCGGTGGGTCCCCCAGGAGCTATCTGTCTGGAGTTTGCATGTTCTCCCTGTGTTCCAGGTGCTCCGGTTTCTCTCTCAAAGTCATGCTGGTGGGTTAACTAGCATCTGGGTAAACTGACCCTGGTGTGGGTGTTTGCGTGTTTGTGTCTGTGTACCCTGACTTGTGCCTGTTGCTTGCTGGGATAGGCTCCAACTCCTCCATGACGCTAAACTGGATGAAGCAGATAGAGAGACGGATACACCATCTTCAAACTGACATATTTCTAGAATCGCTTGATCACGTTAAGGGACCTGCTCTGTCAATCAGAGGGCTGCCAGCAGGCTCTGCAGTGCACAGAACAGGGTACAAACAGAGAGCTGCCGGCCTGTCAGAGGTAAGAAGATTACAGCTCTCATCCCGGACGAGATGCAGGCCGGAGAACAGCCGGATTCTCCTGCCCCCTGGAAATCCTCACAGGGACAGAGCTACTCACTGCAAGGGTGCCAGGTCCCCAAACCACACAACAAGAACTCTAAATAAATGTATATTAATACACACTATTATACTATATGTATAATATGATGAAGCAATACAGCTGCTGTAATGCGCTCAAGGAGGTTATTTGTGCTGTAAGCAGACAGGGGTCACTACAGGCAGAGATACTGTTGGGCCTCATAAGAGGAATCATGTTAAAAATCTGCCGTCCAGTATGAACGATGCACAGCTGTAGCTTGAAACACTTTAAATGATACATTAGATGACACCTTAAATGATATCTGATTAGGAAAATCGACATATAAACTGACGAATTATAGATAGACAGGACAAGACAGGTAAGAAATGAATTTATTATGCTAAGTATTTAATCCAAAACGATTTACAATTTACAGGGTGGTAGTGTAGGATTAGGCCTCCCAACCTAGTCTTACGAGCTCAAAGTCTCTGACCACTAATCCACACCGCGGTTACACTGAGCAGACATACGGACACAGCAATGTAATGACGAGCCGTGCGGGCAAGTGGACACCACCAACAGCTCGCAAACTGCTCGGTTAATCGTAGTAACGCGACAAACAGCTCTCTTAATGAGACCACATTCATTTGCACGACGTTAATGCAGCTGGAAATTTGATACAAATAGTTCTCGAAAAGAAAATATCACAATGACCGACACCCCTGCAGAGCCTGGAGCTCAGACGAACCGTTACAGTGCAGAAGTGTCCACAACTAACCGTTTCACAACGTGCTGAGAAACATTACTAATTAAAAGGGAAACGATTTTGCGATGTAATCTTATTAAAAGTCACCACCACCATTACCGACATATAATGAGAATAAAAATATACTTACAGTCCGCTGCACTTGTAGGTGATGAAGTAGGGAAAATACGCCAGAGCGAAGCAATTTCCAAAATGGAACAACGTCATTGTCGATAAATACACCACCCGCGTTAATTAACTCGTTTAGACTGAATTGACAATTAAGAAGACGAACCGTATAAAGATATGGTTGCCCTTCTGGGTAAACACTAAATTCCAAACAAACAGACTAATTTTAAATAAAATGAAAATTATGGCAAACTGCACGACGTCAAGCCTTAATCAGTTAAACACGAACCCAACAGAGCATCAGACTGCGTGAATGTACGATATTTGTCCGGGTAGCAGACGCTAGTGAAGGTTACAGCTGTACGGAAAAGTGCTGTCAAGGCGTCGATTGCAAGATACTGTGCATTACGATATACTTCCAAATCAAAATAGTTTTCGCTATAGCTCAACACTGTAATCACACCCCCTTTCCTAATTAGCGATTTCGTTGTCTTTTATAACCTGCCCACACCGATAAAACCGGCAGCACCAAACATTTTTCTTCAGCTATTCATTTATATCCAACACCTCATGACAAATAGAGACTGCGGAAGCAGATCCCTCAATCTAAATGCTCCGGACTGAATCTAGGGAAACACTGTTCCGAAACTATTGAGTTCCGCCCGTCCATCGATTTCTGTCTGTTGCACAATGAACACTTGGGTTCCTTTAATTTTAACTACTCCATAACATCTCGTTATGAGAAATGTTTTTTTTTCTGTAGTTAACGATTCTTTTACTCTTCATTACATATTGTTACAACAGCTAAATTACACAATGTCATCTTGATAAAAAGGTCCATTATGTGTATTTGTATAGAGATCTTGCAGCTCCTCACATATGAACTGGCCCCCCAACACATAGGTGACACAGAGCAGCCAGTTTGCACCAGGAACCCCACCACACAGTGAGAAATTACTCCAGTTGATAGGAGGTGATTTCAGGGAGGCCAGTTTAGTCAGAACACAACGGAGAACACCCCTGCTCCTAAGAACAGGCCATGTGATCTTCAATAACCATGTAGTCGTGTCTCTTTCAGATGATAGAAACTCCCTACTCCTTCTCTTTGTCGTCTTCCTTTCCATAGTGACCAGGCCCGGCCCAGCCCTGCTTAACTTCCGAGATCTGATTAGATCAATTTATGGTCATGGTGCAATAATTTGGGGTAAGTCTCTTCCTGTGTTTTTTTCCCACTTCCTGAAGACAGGATGTATGGTAAGCACCATAAAGTGAGATTAAAAAAAATCATAAGCATTCCTCAGCAAAGCATGCTTAAAGCATTTTTTTTTTCCACTCGAGTCATTGATGACCGATTTGGTATGAATGAGCTACTTACAACAAGGCCTGTCTACACCATAGGAAAAAAGTGTATTCTTTTAATAACAAGAAAACAATGACTAACATTTTTAAGGGAATCTTCAAAGGACAGTTATGTTCCCCTTTCTTCCCTAAATACTGATCAAATCCCTTCAGCCTTCTGCCACAAGGCCCCATTCTGCCCTGCTTTTAAGGGTGTAAAATAAATTTGCTCTAAAGCTTACTGAACAATACCAGTGCATCCTGAAACTTTATTAACATAAACCACTCCATTTCCTTATAGGTCTGTAGGTCCTCTGCTGTTGATTTTGTAATGTCCTGCTCTCTGGAGAGGGTGGATTTGAGCTGTCTGGGCCAAGCACTGCGAGCCCCATCCTCCAGAGACACGCTGGCATTTCTAAATTGCCTAGTTTGGTGCATCTTGATTACTAAACGAGTGCTGGCGCTGGGTGAGAGCATTAAGCGAAGTAGGTGATCTTGATGGGCCAAATGGCCTCATCTTGTCTTCACATGTCCCCCCCATTCATGGAAGCATTTGATCACCATTCAGTGACAGCCTTGAAACTTTGAGCACCATAACAATGAATTCTGAAGCCCCCAGCCCCCTCGCTGTGCAGTTCTTCAAAGTCACCCAAGAACTTCACTGGGATATTGTCATACAAAAGGGATAAAGGTTTCGAAGACAACCAAGGACAAAAGAAAGCAGTCAGACACCACCGCATGGGTTTAGAAGTCAGATTTATTGACATTACCAGATGTTATTTTATGCTTTTCAACACCAAATAATACAGCAACACCCAAATGGAAAGACAACTAGAGCCGGAGCCAAGACTAGAGCTGGCCCAGGCGGGCCGGCAGGACTGGACACTCAGACACACAGACGAACTCAGAGGCACAGCACCTCGAGCAGGGCGGGGGCGTGGGGCCTCATGGCTGCACTACAGGGGAGTCAGACAGCCAGGACGGGCCGCAGAGGGGGTGCAGCGGGTTGGTCCTGCGCCTCTGTCTTTCGGTGAAGTCCAACAGGGGGATTTACTCCTTGGAATGCATGTAGGTCAGCAGATCAGCCACACGGGTGCTGTAGCCAAACTCATTGTCATACCTGAAGAAAGAGGAGGGGGGACAAAGATTAGCAAAGCAGCTGGAAGACAACGCCGAGCAGCAGGTCCCGGAGGGGCGGGACACAGGGGCCGGGCCTCACCAGGAAATGAGCTTGACGAAGTTGTCGTTCAGGGAGATGCCGGCGCCGGCGTCGAAGATGGAGGAGTGCGTGTCTCCAACGAAGTCTGAGGAGACGACCTGCAGAAAGAGTTACACAACAGACGGTCAGAGACAAAAACACAGCGAAGGGGCAGCCTGTCTGTGCAGTGCTCTGAAAAGCCCTCCTATAATATCCACATGATCTGCAGTCGCCCACAGTGCCCTAACCCAGGCTCCACCAACACACCCTTAATCCTGCTAGTCAAATACCGACAATGGAGTGCTCCCCCTGGTGGACAGGACATGCAACAGGTGGCAGATTTGCCAAGCCTTCCATCGTCTGTTTTAGCAGGCAGACAAACCCCCACATAAATAAGTAGGTCCTGGTTGGAAAACTAGTTGTGTGAGAATGTTAATCAGACTACAGCCATTGTTTGAAGTTCCTTATCTGTGTTTTCTGTAGAATCACTGCTGGCCAGGTTTAAATCCGGCTCCTTCTGGAAAGACAACCAAGTGAAAACCAGCCTGACGCCGCCAGACGGCAGCCCATCTCACCGAGTCCTCGGTGTATCCCAGGATGCCCTTCAGGGGGCCCTCGGACGCCTTCTTCACGGCCTCCTTGATCTCAGCATAGCTGGCGGAACGGGACAGGCGGCAGGTCAGGTCGACCACGGACACGTCGGCCACGGGGACGCGGAACGCCATGCCGGTCAGCTTCCTGCGGGAGGGAGGGGGAGACAAGGGGGTTCCGTCAAGCACCTGTTTGCCTTGAGGGGATCACACTTGAGCCGCAGCAAAGACCCAGGCCACTTGTCCACCTTGAGCCCAAAAAACTTTGATGTTCAGATGTTCAGGCGAAGCGATAGCCCCCCCAGCCCGGAATCTCCAGCGGGAGACCAGGACAGCTGCTGCGGCTCTCATCCCGAGAAAGTCAGGACACGGCGCTTCCAAACTCCCCGAGAGGCACACAGCCTGCCCCCTCCTCGCCTGCAGCTCCCACGCCAGGATGTGGGACGGACACAGCTCGCCAGCGGATCCTGCGCACTCCCAGGTACCCCAGGAAGCCAGCGGGGTCTCTCCACCCCGTCCGGTCTTGAGCTCGTCAGCGCTCTGGGCCGGTCGGAAGCTGCCCCTTCGGGAGGCTCCGGTCTTGGCTCTCGGGCACCAGCGCACTAGGATCCTCACGATCGTGACACCCGGCTCCCGGCTCTTCCCTCCTCCCAACACTCACCCGTTGAGCTCAGGGATGACCTTGCCCACAGCCTTGGCAGCCCCAGTGGATGCTGGGATGATGTTCTGGTGGGCACCTCTGCCGTCACGCCAGGCTTTGGCCGAGGGGCCGTCCACGGTCTTCTGGGTCGCGGTGTAGGCGTGCACCGTGGTCTGGCGAGAGAGACACCAGGGTTGTGTCCAGCGGGACTTCTATAACCACACATCACCACCTCCCTCCTGAAGAGAACAGCCCTCCCTCCCCCTCCCTCCCGCAGGAAGCTGAGGTCCTGGGAACATCCAATTAGCACACCAGCTTCCTTCACCACAGCCCGATCCCAAGTATCGCACCAGGCCAGCCTCCATGAACGGCTGGTGTTGGGCCCACTGCGTCCTGCGCTTGGCGCTTGGAGACCTCGGGCCTCAGAGCTGGAAGAGATATGATCGGTCAGATCGGACTGCTGTCCTCACCATGAGCGCCTCATCGATGCCGAAGTTGTCGTGGATGACCTTGGCCAGGGGCGCCAGGCAGTTCGTGGTGCAGGAGGCGTTGCTGTGGAGGAGAGGAGACCGTCGGCATGCAGGACGAGACTCGAGACACTACAGGAAGGCGACTGTTTCGGCACCAAGGCAACAGTTCCAGCTCTGCTCACCTGACGATGGTCATGCTGGAAGGGTCGTATTTGTCCTCGTTGACGCCCATCACGAACATGGGGGCGTCAGGGGAGGGAGCAGACACCACCACGCGCTTGGCGCCGCCCTGCAGGTGAGCCTGGGAGGTGGCGAGAGCAACACATTAGCACTTGCACTAATTATATCCTCAGTATTTTCAAATCAGGGCATTCCTGAACACAGCTGCATGACTAACTGTGGTCCTGTGGTCAAGAGTCTCGAAGCGACCAGTTTTAAGCCGCTATATAAACTCAGATCTTTGTATTACTCATCTTTGCAAATCCAGAATAGCAGCTCCTTTGCCACCTTAACAACTTTATACTGCACTGAAACCCCCAGTAAGTTACCACCCCCCCACACCACCCGAGCCTGCACCAACACTCACAGAAGCCTTCTCGATGCTGAGGAAGACTCCGGTCGACTCCACCACGTACAGGGCTCCGCAGTTGCCCCAGGGGATCTCTGCAGGCTTCATACTGAGGGAACAGACAGGCGAGACGGTCAGACAGTCGCTCATCGACAGCAGAGCAGACAGACAGTGCTGACCATGCAGTCTAGGGGGGAGGGGTCACCCAGTGCTGACCACGCAGTCTGGGGGGGAGGGGTCACCCCATCCGCCCCAGGGCCCCACTTTGTTATTCTTGGAGCTTTATGCCAGGCGGCACCGTGGCGCCAGCTCTGAAAACACAGAACAGTACTGCACACCCTCCCCCTCCCCCTCCAGTCTCCAGCCGAGCGGAAGAGGACACGCAGCCCGACCCCCGACCCCCAGCCGGCCACGCACCACTGGAAGACAGAGATGACGTGGTCGTCCACCACCAGCTTCCCGCCCTCAGCACGCACGTCCCCAGAGTAGCGGCCGTGAGTGGAGTCGTACTTGAACATGTAGACCTGCAGGGGGCGGCAGAGCGCGAGAGGAGAGAAACAGGTTTAAACACGGATCACAGAATATCCCACAGGAGTGCAGCGGTCCCTGGATCTGTTCCCGATTCTGCCTGGGCAATAACCCGGCTCCCCCCCTCCGTACAGAGCCAGCCAGATGTGCACAGCAAGCACCCCCCAAGTCCCAATCCCAGCAGTCCCGGCTCATACCATGTACTGGAGGTCGATGAAGGGGTCGTTGATGGCCGTCACCTTGATGCCCTTCTGCAGGCACGCCCTGAGGACCAGGCGGCCGATACGGCCGAACCTGCAGTGAGAGAAGGAAGGGTGAGGAACAGCTGCAGAAACACCGATTCACAGCTCAACACAATGTGACCGTTCTGCAGATGTGCTTGTCTAGGGTCACTTGAAAAAGGAAGGAAAAAAAATACATGGTCATTGCAACGACACTTCACAATCAGAAGTTACACACTGGATCAAGAGGGGCAGGCAGCCCAGAATGAGAGCTGGAACAAGACAGTGAGGAGGATGAGTCTTTAATCCCCATCCTCAGCATCTGTGTCAGAGGCAGTTCGGGGGGGAGGGGACTTCCAGCAGACTCTCTGAGCCACACGTCTGTTGCTGCCTCTCCAGCAGTAAAGCCCTGGGAACTGTTAACCTCTGGGCGGGATCTGATCCCAGCGAACCAGGCAGCACTCAGATCACCCCCCTCGCTCTCCACGAGCCTGTTCACGGACGCTGTGCCAGCCCTGGTGGGCGGAGGGATTGGGCACAGGAACCAGCACAACCCCCTGTAAAGGAGAGAGCCAAGTCCCAGAAACTCAGCCAGGACAAGTGGGAGGCAGATCGGGAAGCTTGCCAATTTCATTATTTAGGAAAAGAAAACTGCAGTTTTCTGGAAGAATTGCTTAGAAAATAAAGATGGAAGGGCTTACCCATTGATTCCAACACACAAGTCTGACATGGTTGTTGTTTAGTAGGATGTGGTGCTGAGCCTGCAGAAAGAGAAAGAAAACCTTGAGAACAATCAGCATCATGGCTTCAACCACCCACCGAATTTGCCCTAGTTTTTACATCTTTATTCACAGTTTGTGCCATCCTGTGTCAGAGGTACTTTAAAGTTCATACACTTATTTTCAGGGTGGAAGGCAAAAAAAAACTCCAGCAGCACAGTGGCTTCAGCACAGCCATTTACACAACAAGCTCATCGTGAAGCCAAAGCCGCAGCACAAGGCCCGCTTCGACATCCAGCCCCAGCAAAGGGGCCCAGTAGGAAGCATGCGAGTCCACACAGGAAGTCCCTGGCTCAGATGTTCCCCCCGCGATGGAGGAGAGTTCCAGTACCGCCCAGCCTGGCCCAGCGCTCTGAAACCACGAGGAACCCACAGGAGCTGCCCTTGTAAACCCAGCACAGTTTTCGTTGGCGAAACCTGGCGCCTTACAGCTTGGAAAGCAGCCGGAAGCCAGCGAACGGTTGCTGCTGAAGAAACAGGTGGGAAGGAGAAAAACAAGTAGTGCAGAAGAAGAAAGATATTTTGGAATCCTACCAACTGAACTGCTCGGCCCTCACTCTCCTTATAAGGTCAGCTTCTGAGCGAAAAAGGAGGAGGAGAGACTAGAGTTAAGAACTTTGCAGGCAGCTCTGAGCAGGAAGTTCAGGCTACAAGATAGAGCACTTCCTCCAAGCCGACTGCTGCAGAGAAGAAAAAAAAGCCAAGCACTTCCCAGTTAACAGGCCATCTCAGGCAGAGGTTATGTGGGTCGAGCACAGGGCACTCAGGCACAGCCCCCCATCCTTAAAACCTTTTTCTACCCCCTTCAAAAAATATCAGACCAAGTACAACTCGATCAGATCTCCCTACCTGCTGAGCGGTATAAAAGATTAAATCAATAGCTCGTTTGCAAGATCATGTGGTTTTTTGTGCACTTGTTATCTCTCCTGGTTTCCCTTTCGTGTCCATGATGTGGTGTCACTACTGCGTGCTCCAGGTGGGATCTGATTTCACCAGTTACCCTTTACTGTGTTTTACTGTGGTACACTCCTGTAAAGGGGAGGAGTGTGGGTTTCAGCAATGAAATGAGAAGTTGAGCAAATTCCTCAACTGTAACAAGAATATGGTTCAAATACCGACAAGGAGACTCCTTTCACACACTCGAGGGTTGAGCAAGACACAGTTGCACAAGCGCCAAGCCTGGCTTCTGCCCCAGCCCAAGACCTGCAGGACACTGGCCTTCGGGAGTCAGGCACCAGGAGCACTGAAAGGAGAAACATCACCTTTAAAACCTCCCGAATCTTGAATCTCCTGGCCACTCTCCGGGCTGCGACGCCCGACAGTTTTGAGAAAGAGAGCAGCTCTGCTAGTGCTGCTCGAGGAGCTGCAGTTTAAAAAAAAAAGTTTCCTGAAAGCTCCCGGGGGCAGCCAGTCCAGAGTCAGCAGGGATAAGAGACAAAAACCTCTTTACACAGCAAGGCTAAACGTAAGGAGGGGGCCTGGCCTGGGACAGCTGTAGACAAGGCACACTTGCCAATGGCAGCCTGTCCCTGCCTAGTCACTGAAAAGGCTAACGAGCACGAAACACCCAGACCCTCCTGTCCAGAGCAGCAGGATTTTCACTGCACAGGCTCGCAGACCCCCGCGCCCACGGGGCACGACACCAATGGCCACCAAACCATCCAAAAATGAGAACGGAATCGCTCTCCGCTTGCCCTGCCTGAGCCACTCTGTCCTCACTGTCCTCATGGGGGTTTCAGACAAGGGCAAACGATCTCCGAGGCTCACGAGCTGCCAGTCAGCGACAGTCTGGGCCCTGCAGGCACTACAGTGTAAAACAGACTTTACGGTCACCAACCATCATCTGGAATTCATTCACAGTTGCAGACACTTTCACACCCAGCAGCTCTAGAGCAGGAGTGGAGTCTCCTCTCTCGGTCCCGCACCAAAGGGGGTCCAGTCCTGGAGGCCCACACACCTGTCTGGTTTCTGTTGCAGACAGGCTCTCTGCTACACTGAACCCGTAACAGACTTACCCGGATTAACTTCAACTGGCTGACTGTTTTCAGCTCTTAAACTAGCTGATGGATGCCTTCTAACTGCTGCAATTACAGTTCTCTACTCACAGTGTTCCAATTAAGAAGCTAAAGTTCAATTAAGACTTTAATTAAGTAATTAAGCAGAGCTGGATTGAACACCAGCAAGTGTGTGCTGCTCTGCAGTAGGGTATTCCTAAAGTCTAGAGACACGTCCTCGATAATTGAATAATACATTCGAGACCTGCAGAGCTTGAAGCCTGAAGAACACCTGGACTGGTTCCAAACAATCATTAAATTTAACGTGTAATCTTCTTAGTTGTTTGCAGTTATCCCGTGTCTTCAGAGCTCTGACTTAATGGTGCCCTAGAAAATTCACTGACTGGACTGCAGGTCTGTGGTCACAGCTCTGGACTCCCAATTCAAAGGTCAGGGATCCAAATTCATGTAATCACCCAATTAGTACCTTCTAATGACCCTTCCGCTAAATTGCCAACTGATCAGTCACACGCTTAATTAGGAGATGATTAATGTACTCGCCAGATCGTGATTTTTTTTACCAATTAAGGCTACAGAAAAACAAATCTGCAAGACTCAGGGAGTCAGAAGTAAGAAAAACAAGGAATACAGACAGTTATCCTGGAAAAAACAGGTGAAGACTCAAATCACAGCAAGATGGACTGAAGGTACCCTTAAAATCTAAAGCTTAAAATTCCGGGGAACCTTCATTTCTGTCTGCTGAGCGGATGATCTGGGTGAACAGTCATACAGACATCCCCTCTTGCCAGGAGCCGCTTCCTCAACTTGCCCCCAGGGGTCCTGTCTGGAGCTCAAAGTCATTTCAAGACCCTTCCAGAACCACCAGCTCCCTCCAGTCCGACCTGCCTTCCGGCACCACCCGCCTGGCCCAGTCCCCCCCATTCCTGCTGTTGTCTGCGTCAGGCCCTGCACAGCTCAGGATGGGCTGGGTTCTGCTGTCAGTGCCTAGGCCAGCACACACACACGCACGCACACACGTGCTCTGGCTGCACTATGCAACTCTCCGCATCAGCAGGAATTCAAGGGCTTGTCCTTGCAGCAGGACTCTGCACAAATCCTCTTATTCTCCATGTCACTGCCTCTGTGCACAAGCAGAGGGGATTAGAGCTGGCAGGAGACACGGACCAGCAACCTCATCTCATCCCCCCACAACATCCCACCTTCCTGCATCATCGCTGACAGATGAGCCAATGACAGCGCAGGGGCAGCCCAGGCATCCTGCTCGCATCACCCGGAAAAAACACACCGAGCTGCAGCTGCTTTCCAGGGAAAAGGCCGGGTCCCCCACTGCTGTCGGAGAATGGGGTTCCCTCTCCGGCCCCAAAACATTCTCAGCCGCCTCTTGCCATTCTCTGGCTAAAGGCAACATGCGGAATGGGGACACAGGGCAGATCCGGGGCTTTGCAGGGGCAGTTCCGGTGAACGTACCCCACTGTGAAGCCCCGAGTGAGCGAGCCCGCGGGGCGGCGACAAACAGGCTCAAGGACAAGAGCAGCGGCCTGTTTCGGCGAAGCCAGGCAGCCGCAGACACGGGTGCTCTCCTGGCCACTGCGCGCGGGGGAGGACGGTGCTCAGCTCTCCCCCCGATGCCCTTGTCCAGCTGCTCGTTACCCTTCGGAAGAAACTGCAGCCTGGCCTTCAAGAACTCACCTGCAGAGTCGGAGAGGGATGTAAACATCCGTCTCTCTGGGGTTCACCCCACCAGCATCGCAAGGCTCTGCTAACACACCTGTTCCCACATAACACATATCGATGGGCCCCCCTGGTGGCCGAGGTATATTACACCCTCCAGTGTTCCTCCAGTGGGGCAGTAGCAGCGGGTGGGATGTTTCCTTTCATCCATTCAAGAAATCTAAGGGGCCTGCTTTCCAGCCCCCCCGACTGCCTACAGAAGCACGAATCGCCCCAGCAAGCCTTCCGCCCGACTTCCTCACTACAGAGCCCAACTAATTATTCGCTCGACGGAACCGATTGAGCTCTACCCCTCCCCCCCCCCCGGAGTTCCTGGCAATTTCAAGAGCTCGCAACACCTGCAGGGCTGCTGGCCGACAGACGGGCCCGTTCTCACTGGGCTGCTGCCCGAGGCATAGACCTGCCCAGAGCCTGCAGGATACAGCGCCACCCGCTGCGCGGTCAGTCCAGGAGGCGCGAGGCTCGGATCGGGAGCGATTCCTCCGCGCCTGTCATTTTCGGTTCAGGAACAGTTAACAACTACTCCCTCTACACAACGTCCTCCAAGCAGGAAAGGTCTCGTTACTGCAAGCCTTCGTTCAAATAAGCAACAGGGCCAGGCTGGACTGAAAACCAGGAGCCCGATCCTCGGGAAACACACACCTCCGGCACCCTCTGTTCTGAGCTGCTGACACCAATAAACTCCAGGTTATACTCCCTGTGTATCCATCACGTTCCCATTGCCCATCAAAATCAAATCCACAGCTCCCCAAAGACTCACCAAAACTGTCTCAGAGAAACTCATTTACGCCTGAACTACTGAATCAAGCGTGCAGGTATCCAGATTGCATCCATACTGCGCTACAGGGCTCACAGCACTACAATATCCTTTTTGAAAGTCTGTTACTAACCCCCCCCCCCCACAGCCTGTGGATTCTGAGGAGAGCAGTAACCGCCAGTTCAAGACTGGACGGGTTCCTGGAGTGCGGGGGGCGGGGAGGAGCTGGAGAACAAGCAGCAGGAAGGAAAGAGCAGAGGGAGAAGCCATTTTGTGCCAGAGCTAGCTGCTGCATCATCCAGCCATTTTCCTCTCCAGGACCTGCTCTTCCTCAGATCAAAGCTCCAATAAAGCGTCAAAAACACCCGCAGCTACACATGGGACCACTTAGGGAAGCTCAGAGGGATGTGAGACCAGCCCGATTTCACAGCCCTGAGTCTAACTGCACAGATCCTCAGCGCTCCCTCTCTTCTCCACTCCGGGGGGTACAGATCCCCAAGATCCTCACCCCTCATCGCTCCCCAAGTCCACATCCCTGCGGGACACACCACCCCAACCCATGGGTGCCGAGAGACTGGCTCCCCACTATGGAAGTGTCACCTTGGGGCTACCTGGGAACGAGGTCAGTCAGACATCATAAGCATCAAGAGGTTTTTAGTTCAAAACGTATTTCCTACATGGTTCTCAGAATAACACACTATAAGGGTGAACCCCTGTCTGAGATACCTGGAAAAGCCAACTGTCTGTTCTCTCCTTCAGCGTTTTATTGGATTTGGGAGATGAAGCCAAGCTTTGCACTTTTTGCACAGGAGATCCTGCAGCAGGTAAATCATCCATAAATCACCCAAATGCCCAGCTTTAAACAGAGACACAAACACGATTTAAAGTGCAGCTACAAGACTCGTTAACACTGTGGCTGCCTTTGGCAAAGAGTGCCCTTGAAAAGAGCTCACACACACCCCCCCCACGAGACACTGCGTCTGCCTGGCTCAGGCCCAGGCTCTGCACCAGCACTGCGGCAGGATGCACTGACCCGCACACGCACCCCCAGGGCGGGTGTCCCGGCGTGATCCCCCCTCCTGATCCCAGCCCCCTTGAAGGACTTCTGACAGCAAGAGCCTGCAGACAGTCAGAGCCCTCATGATCAGTGCGCAGTTAGGAAAACTCCCCAGATCGGGAAGCCAGAAGCCTTAGACAACATCTCCAAATCCCCAGAACTCAGGCGGGAAGAACCCGGGAAGCAGGAGGAAGCCCGTGCAAGTCAGTCAGGTGAGAGGACAGCACAGGCCGCTCGCTCAGGAAGGGTTAAAAACGGACGGTGCTCTGAATTATGGGATCCAAAGGGCAAAACATCTCCGCGATGCCTTTTCCGTAGGGAGGAATAAAGTGGAAGAGGATCTAATCAGGCCTTTGCACCTGCCGTGTGCATGAGTCCAACAATAAGAATAAGAGCTGCACCTCAGAGACATTTCACTCCCTTACTGTTTTTACAGTGTGAGACAGCGCAGCTCAACACGAACTGTAGTGATCAAACCCTGGACTGCAGCACGAACCCATCACACGACCGCTCACAGAGAGCCATTACTGGTGCTTATTCCACCAGTCAGAGTCCGCCAGGGACCACGGTCCTTCGGTACCTCGACAGTGAGACACAGCCCTAGTGCGCGACGTGCATGTTGGCCCGCGAGGCTGTCGTGGCCCGTTACGGGAAACCACGAACGTTATTAACGCGCATCGCGCCCCCACTGCCACTCGCGACAGCGACGTGAAGCCAGCAGCGGGAGGCCCCGCCCTGCCCCGGGAGGGGGGGCGGACACGGTAGTCATACGAGCACATTCACCGGCGGCAGGAATGAGTAAGGACACGGCCCACGGGGCTGTCCCGCGTCTCCGCATGAGTCACCCCCCCCCGGGAGATCCGCTACCAGCCGGCCGGCACGTCCGCCCGGCGCCCCACACACGGGCCCGCTCAGGGTGTAAACGCTCACCCCGCTTGATTCAATTATTAAATCAAGAAAAATAAGTTCCGTTTCTTTTTCCCCTATTCACATTTAGACGATCCGAGTCCGGGGTTCATTCATTCCGAAACAGGCGGTACTTTTGTGGTTTCAAGCCAATAATAATTGGCCACGACTCATTCACGCTTCTGAAAATGACAAGGAAGAGGAGGAAGAGGAAGAAGGCGGGGGGGGGTTCACCAGCGACACGCGCACCCCGGGCCCTCACTCAGCGCGAGGCTCATTAGGCCTCGTGAAAGCGGACCGGACCGGATCGGGGCAGGTGGCGAGTCCGGCCGGACCGAGCGACCCCTCCGCTCACAGGGGTCAGAGATGACCGTTTCCTGAGCGGTACTGGCGGCAGGCAGCAGGAGCACTGCGGAGAGTCATTGTAAAGATAGAGTAGTACTTGCACGGAAAATTACCACACGCACACACACACTCACACACACCACCCCGGTGCTGAATTAGCCGGGATGCTTCGCTCGCCGCCATTGAGGCCAGTGTCGGCTGAGACGCACAGGCGTCCCTCGATGTCGTCCCGGGCTGCCGCGTGCTCTTGTGGAAGAGGGGTGTTGTGCCCGGGGGTTCATCCCCCAAGAGATCCCCTCACTGACCACACTGCCCACCCGGGCTCGCTCGGCCGCACGCCGTGACGCAGGAGCTCCGAGCCGCTCCAGCAGCCTCCCTCGCCGGCCAGAGCGCCGGACAGGCTCGCCTGGAGGCACGGCCGGCCGCCTGTCCACGCCGGGGAGCCGCTGAGGTGTCACCCCGACTCCCCGCGAGCAGGATGGAGGGGAGCGCTCGCCTGCCGCCCGGGCGGCCGCGACCGACGAGCCGCGCTAATTTCATGCTGAATTAAATTTCGTCAGTTTTATATGCAAATTCAATATTTGATTCATTAAATAAAAAAAACAAAGCATCGGAGGGCGTACTTCTGCGTGCTTTCAAGGTTATATCACTTCCTTTTTAAACGGGAGCATCTCTTCCCCATTAAGCCCAATTGCGACAGGCGCCCTCACTTCTCCCCACCCCGCAGTCCACACCTATGCAGAACAGGTGCTCTAATTCCGCGACACCGCCTTTAGGCATCCTTTTCTTGCGCCTTTCGGGAGATTAAGGAGAAAACCGAAACCCCTCCCCCCTCTCTTACCTTCCTCCTCCGATGCTGCAGTGTGTCTGCGGGTCTCCGCCTCTCGCATCCAGCATTTATACCGGGCACGCGCCACTTCAGCCAGGCCGGGCCCGGGTTGCCATGGAAACCCCGCAACGTCACTGTTACAGAGGGAAGGAGGGAGGAGAAGGACGGGGCTGAAAGGCAGCACCAGAGGACTGTCACGGCTGCTATGGAAACCCCGGCCCGGGACTCGAGGGGAATGAGTGACACGTGCAGGCCAACGCATCGCACCGGTACCGCACCGGCGCCGGAGAGCACAGAGGGCTGCGGGCCCGCAGAACAAGGGGGCTGTCGAACCGGCAAGTCAAGCCTGCTGCAGCACTGATTGCCTACAGATTCGCAATTTCCCGTTGCTCAACGTCATTACGTAAGACTGACAATGTCTCATCCCGGAAGCTTCGGGGTCACGTTATCACGTTAAGCAATAGCTGTGGACAAGTACATCACCCCCAGTTACCGGAGAAAAACTGCAGAAGGAAGTCACTTTTCTGTTATACTCTATTTTGTTTGATTTCAGTTTGAACCTTGTGAAATAAACCGTTAAGTCATGCAGAACAGACAGCGAGCTGTTCTCTGTGATTCCGCATCTCCGCAGGACGATTGACCTTGACAGCGGTTCCTTAGGCCGACCTGTCGAGAGACCTTTTTCAGTCCAATCCTCCTGTAGCGTGTTATGCTCAAGATTAAAAAGACTAAGCTATTTTAACCTTCTCGCAGCTGGACAGCCGCGATTTTAAAAGATAACATCAATGATTTACTACGAGCTGCGATGTCCCCCGTCTCTCCCTTCCTGATCTGTGTGATACTTCTCCCTCCTGGGTGACCCATAAACTTATCAACATTTCTGACCACAATTCAGGTGCCGTTGAGTCTGTTGAACTGTGTGACTTGGCTGGCTATCGTTATAATTTCCGCGTCTTGTCTGTAAAGGCGTGTAGTTATCAGAGGTAATCTAGGCGCGCTCTTGGTGTGATCTCGCGTGCTCAATTAGCTAGCCGACCTACGCGAGGAGAGAAGACGGTTCTGTAAAAATACATGTATTTCTTCAGCCACTTATTATAAACAATAAAAACACAATATTGACCTGTATATTAATCAGATTTCTTTTAAAGTCGACTTAAAAAAATGTGTTTTATTTTGGTTATTATATCATTGTGTTTTTCACAACACTCTCAATGATATATTTTCCTGATAATTTACACTTCATTGTTTGTAAGTTGCTTTCGTTAGAGGTGTCATTTAAATATATTTATGACAACACCATCGACAACTACATAGAATTTGCTGTACCAATAGCTTTTTTGCTGCTGACCACGATATCAGAACTAAATGCTGCACACTGGTGGTGGTGGAGGGGAGTCCCCATTACCTGTAAAGCGCTTTGAGTGGAGTGTCCAGAAAAGCGCTATATAAGTGTAAGCAATTCTTCTTCTTCTTCTTCTTATTATTATTATTATTATTTTATTATTATTATTATTATTATTATTATTAATCAAGTGAAGATTGTTCAGGAGAAAAATAACCAGGTGATCAGAAATATTCTTTTAATATTCCAATCAGTAATATAACCGAATATAAGAGACACAGAACAAACTTATAAACCTAACCTTAAAACACAAACTACCACCCTATTTAAGCGATCCCGAGTAGGAGAGTTTGCACATGCGCCCTGTCAAGGCCACTGCGGAACGGAAATAAGGCTGACAGGCTGCGGAAGCGGGGAAGGGCAGGATGGGAAATGTAGTTTATCTATGCTTTTATATAGAATACATAAATCGATCAATCAACCATACGGGAACTCGTCACCTCTAAACATATTGGCACAGACGCCGTTTTTGTCAGCATCTGCATGTGTTTTGCGTCGAGTTCCCTTAGATCTAGGTCTAACAAAAGGCTTGATACGGCGTTGGTATCTAATAATAATGCAATCAGTGCGTGTTAGTTTCAGGAGTTGGTACAATTGCAAAGTACAAATACATGAAAAAAAGTGCTTTTGAGACTTACTCAAAGTTTAATTATTTTAAAAATAATTTGTTTCAGAACATTTCCAACAAAAGGCAGAAAAGCTTTAATTGCTGTGCAGTGGTAGTTCTTTCTATACATACTTAGCATCCAGATGGGGCTGCACACTGGTGCATGACCTGTAAAGCGCTTTGAGTGGAGTGTCCAGAAAAGCGCTATATAAGTGTAAGCAATTATCATTATACTTGGACAATGATTTTGTGTGTCTTATTGTCGTGGACAATGTGCTGTTGTCAATATTTCTGTCCTTGCTGTGTTAGACAGGATAAGCAGCTATATGCTCCAAGTGGCTCCGCTGTCCTTTTCCGTGAAACGCTACACGTCTTTCTGCAAGGATCGCTAGAGAAGGTTACATTCCCACTCGACCCCAGAGTTGACAATGGGCGGGCTGGCTGGCCTCTTGAATAGGGGTTCCTGCATAATTCATGCCAGGTCCCTTCAGTGTCCCATTTCTCTATTGATCTATTGATCACCTGTCAGGAGGTGACCTCGGATGACTGACTTACACCCCTCCCCCCCTCTTCCTCATGCACGATCAGGACTGGACTCAGCCTTCAGCCCCTCTCAACCTCTCTTTTATAAAGGGTGTCATATATTTTTACTGGCTCGTAATAACAAGGCTTTTGTTTTGATAGGACTGTAAAACTGAGAGGCCTAGTCGAGGCAGATCCCCAGCCTCGCTTTGTCTGGTAACCCGGCACACCAAGCTCCTTGACTCCCACACCGTCCCAGCCTATAGTGAGGTGTCATTTCTGCACAGGCCCCCACTCACATTACATTACTAAGGAATTTTATTTTTGAACAAGCGCGTAGGTGATTTGTTTTGTATTGAAAAACAGCTGTGAACTCTGCTGCAAGTGCAATATAGCAAATAAATCATTTTTTTGTAAATCAGATTAATCTAACTGTGCTCTACAAGCAGAAGGTTCTAGATAAGGCCATCATATGTGAGACAACCCCTCCTGTGTGAATTTATACTACTCTCATGGGAGAGGCCTCTCTTAAAAATTGCTAAATTATTCTCTTATTTCCTGCAATATTGTTTGTCCTATCCTCTTTGTTCATGATACTTGATGTTTTTTTTGTGTTGTTGTACTGTAGTGTTCAACTCTACGCAAAACAATTTTCCCATAGGGGATAATACAGTTTAAATTGAATCTCATGAAAATGGCTACTGAGAGTGGAAAGTGACTTAATGCCCTAATGCTCACAGCCCTGTCCTAAATGTAACATTGTTTATTTTATTTTGTCTTCTACCCTGTGCTGGCTCTGTGGAATGTTTTACAGTATATAGATCTAAACAGAAATCAAGAAAAATTCGTATGAATTTGTGAGTCTAGGTGGGTTTCCATATGCAAAGACGTGTGGTCTGAAAAACTATTACATTTTAATAATTCTTGAGTAAATATCATATAAATATAGTTTAGTTGATGAAAGTTCAGCCTGTTTTATACAAATAATTGTAACAATTATATTATTAATTCTATTAACAACTATCTCTTACAGGGTAAGAAACAGCAAAACATAAAAAAGTAAAAATATTCCCAAAGGACACCCATTTTATTTTAATGAATTATTACAAACCAGTTACTGTAGTTAATGAGGTAGTAAACAAGTTAGTTATCAATTTTTTATATTAATAAACATATCACCAAAGGGGAAATCATTAAAGGAGAACTAATAGAAAATAATAATAAACTTTATTTTATATAGCGCCTTTAAAGGTGGCTTCTCAATGTGCTTGAGTAAGACTTTTTTAAAGATCTTTATCTGAATACATCAAATCAAGATTATCATCTAAACTTTTCAGAGCGTAATGATCATGGAAAACTTTTATTTATCCACTCAAAGGCATATAGCACTCTCAGCTAATAAAATAATGTAAACATGATTGAAACAGAACAATATGTATTCCTCTTGTAGTAGGTATATCCAGAGTTTACTATTGTTAAATTGTTTGGAAATTTCTGCAAAGTCTAATCAACACGGCCCCCTAAATCAGCAGCCGAATACATTCTCTATGCACAGAGTCTGGAAATCCACGCGCCTTGTTAATCTGAGGGATCTGTGCGTTTCGCAGGAGTTTGCCCATTCCGGACTGCTTAATGCCTACTGCACAGCCTTCAGCTCAAGTCTCCAGGTTACTCCTTCCTTCTCTGGGATCAGGTTGGAGCTGAATGATTCCCAGCGCCGCTTGGCTGGGCTTCTTCCTCATTGCCACCCTGTGGAAACCCTTCCTGTTCAGTCTCCTCCTGATGGTCGAGGCGTGGACTCGGATGTCCGCCGCAGCCAGTAAGGCCTGCAGATCCCTGGATGTCACTCTGGGGTTCTTTGTGACCTCCTGCATGATCTTCCGGGTTGTTCTCGGGGAGATCTTGGTGGGACGGCCGGTCCTGGGCAGAGTCTCTGTAGTCTTGAATATTTTCCATTTCTTGAGGATTTGCCTGACAGTGGATCTATGGAGCTGCAGCTCTTTGGAGATGGTTTTGTATCCCTTTCCAGCCCGATGAGCATCAACTACTCTTTTTCTGAGGTCCTCTGAAGTCTCTTTTGATCGTGGCATGATGGCATACCAGCCTGTATGGTGAAGAACAAACTCACAAAGTTTCTGACCGTTATACAGGACAAGGCTGCCCCAACTCTGTCCTCATTTACTTGTCACCTAATTATTTAACTGCCTGATTCTAATTAGCACCTTAATTGTGCTAAGTAAGCTAACTTACTACTTATTATTTCACATACACCAATTCCTAATTGTTCATTTTATGTTTCTACTTCTTACACCACTGTGTCTTCAAAAAATTGAATCAGTAAATATAAACCCCTTTTGGTAACATGAGAAGAGACTGGTCTCGATTAAACAGGGGTATCATGGGAACTCCCATAATTATAGCAGGGCTCACAAACTTCTTCTCTGCAACGTATAGGCCTACAGCTGGCACAGCGGTTCAGAGGTCAGCATTGCTGCTTTGTAGCACTGTGGGCCTGGGTTCAATTCCAGACCTGGGGAGCTGTCTGTGTGGAGTCTGCATGTTCTCCTGTGTTTGTGTGGGTTTCCTCTGGGTGCCCTGGTTTCCTCCAGCAGTGCAAAGACATACTGGTGGGTTAAATGGTGTCTGGTCCAATCGCAAGTGTGTGTCTGACAGGGTGAAACAGTGGGGATTCTTGGGGACACGCTCTGATGGCCATCGGGCTGCTGGGATTCGCGAGCTACGTCACTGCAAACCTGTTCACTTCTGAGCTTTCTGTCACTTTCCCTGTGTCCCGGCCAAAGTTAGACATTGCATGTCTGTAAAAAACTGGTTAAGTTCAAAAACACTTTTTATACGCGAAAAACGGGTGTTTTTTCTTCATCGTGATCAGCTTAGAATCTTTGTCTACGCTGTAAGTTTTTTACTCTTTAATTAAACGTTTAAAGTAGGATTTCATAGACGCCACACGCGTTCCGTCCAGGAAGAGATCCCATGGGACCCCCTCCCCGTGGTGTGAAGCAGATCCGCAGGACTCCCCCCCAATCAGAGGCTGAGAAAATAGCGCCCCGCCCACTGCGCTCCTGCGAGAGTCGACGCGCGACAGGCGCTTATCGCCCTTTTTCCCTGCCGACTGCTGGCCCCTGCAGACCACACCTATACAGAACAGGAGATCCATCTGTTTTTGTCTAGATTCCGCATCCCGACGCCCGCCCTCTCCTTACCTTCCTCGCCCGCCGCTGCGGTGTGTCTGCGGGTCTCCGCGCCGCGCAGCCAGCATTTATACCGACCCGCGTTGCCGTGGAAACGCCGCACGTCACTGCTCGCCTGCTGAACTGGGGGAGTTGGCGACCGGGGGCTGCAACACCTATCATATTATTTGCCTCTAAAATAGCATGTCTTATTAATAGGTGTGCGGCTGTTCCCCTGTGCAGGAGCCACACCGGCGACCCGTCCGACACCGGACACGACCCTGAAGCGCCTTATGCGCCAAGAAAGACGTTTACTTACCATTGTTTGTCAAATTCTGAGAACGTCTTAAGCAGTTTGTTTTAATAAAGTTCAATACAAACTCGTAATTCTCAATATAGCATAAGGTCTTGGTAACATTTTCTTTTTAGTTGATCTATAATGATTTGCTGCATATTTGCCGACACCGACGATTCACGAAGCTGGCTACGTGTGCAGAAGACGACTGTCCTCGGCTGTTCCCCGTGAGTGAGCTGCACACATGCAGAAAGGACTGTCGCAACTGTCAAGTCAGACTTCCGCAAGTAGATTGATGAAGATTGCTTAGAGATTCACAATTTCCCACTGCTCAACAACAAGCAATATCTGTGGCTCAGTGATTACTACCAAAGAAATACTGCAGAAGAAAGAACCTCAATTTGTATCACACTTTATTGTGGTTTATTTCAGTCTAAGAGTGATGGAAGTCATATTTGGCTTTGTGAATGAAAGAGTTAAACTGTGCAAAAGATCCATACATCCATTTTCCAGCCACTTCATCCAAATTCAGGGCTGTGGGGGAGCTGGAGTCTATCCCAAAACTAAGTCTGCTGCTGGAAGAGGTGTTAGTGGGGCCAGCAGGGGGCGCTCTCCCTGTAGTCTATGTGGGGCCTAATGCCCCAGTATAGCGACGGGGACACTAGACTGTAAAAAGGCGCTGTCCTTTGGATGAGATGTAAAACCGAGGTCCTGACTCTCTCATTAAAAATCCCAGGGCACTTCTCAAAAAGAGTAGGGGCGTCCTGGCCAAATTTCCCATTGGCCCTTACCAGTCATGGTCTCCTAATAATCCCCCTCTCTGAACTGGCTTCATCACTCTGCTCTCCTCCCCACTGAGAGCTGGTGTGTGGGGAGTGTTCTGGTGCACTATGGATGCTTCACATTGGTGGTGGTGGAGGGGATCCCCATTACCTGTAAAGCGCTTTGAGTGGAGTGTCCAGAAAAGAGCTATATAAGTGTAAGCAATTATTATTATTATTATTATTCATTATTATTATTAAATAAAGAGGGCAGCAAAGTCACGGAGATTAAATTCATGACTCCAGGGGGAGGGAGAAATAGTTTTCCTAAGGCTAGATAAATAATTTTCTAAGAACTCATTTCATCTAAAGGCAAAATAATCTAATCCAGTCACACGAAAGTGTAAGAAAACAGATGGGAATTAAGAGACCATCTGTTGCCTTACAAGTTAACATGTCCTTTAAGTAAAAATACAATACAGAGGTCAGGGCAACATTATTGATTAATAAGGATAGTTAATACAACATTAAGAGAGGCAAACATTTTTTCTAGGAAATATACTAATAACATAACTGAATAAATAATGAACAACATAAAAAGAGACATTGGAAAAAAACTTGAATAATTTATTTCTAAACAACTAGCACTAATCTACGGATTGTTATTCAAAAATCTATTCAATAAATGGCACACTGAAAAGGGTCATCGGTTAAATTGCTCTCTGCCTGACCTCTTACATCCCCATGAATTAAACACCCCATAAAACTTTTTATTGACAGCAGTCGCCTTCCGCACACACTCTGCCTCCATATCAAAGTCTCAAGTGTTGCACTTTGGTGAACGCAGAGCAGCAGCATAGAAAGGCAGAGTAAAATCAAAGCACAGCAGAGAGAGCAGTGATGAAGCAAATCCCGGTGACAAATTAAAACCCAATGTCCCAGAAGCTGCCCAGCACATTTACTGGTAAACTCTGCCAGGACGGTGTGCCCTCTTGTCCTGTTGCTAAGAGACTGTGTGAGCTGTGGGTGCTTGGGTCTACACTACTCATCAGGAGCACTGAGAATGAAGGCCTGCCACATCTCTGATTTAGTGGGAACGTTTATAATGAGCTCAGCGTTGGGAATGTCCTTGGAGCGTGAACTGAGGGTGAAGAGCTGTGTGTGTAAGCCTGTGGCCAGTCACAGAGCCACGACGCTGGTGCGTCTCGCTGCCGAGGGGAGGTGGAACAGCAGGGGGCGGTGTGGGGCAGCGCTGTGGTGGGAGGAGGCCTGAGCCCGCTGAGTCTTTCTTTAGTAGTACAGCTCCTGGTCCCACCAGCCTGAAGGAGAAGAGATGGAGTTCATTATTTTCTTCATCTGCTTGCAGTTTAGTGTACTTTTATAGTATTCCTATAACTAAATTATCCATATGATATTTGCTCTCATATTAAATTTTTATCTAAATGTACTTTTGCAGCTATAATCTTTCAAACCATTAAGCCCTCCACATGGACTTTGGTACCAGAGGAAGAGAGCTGTAGATTGTGTCAGTACTTGTGCATAGTCTGAAATACACACTTTAATGAAGGATGTCTGGATAGGCACTTAATTAAATTAAAGTTGATGAGATTCATCTGGTTTTTGTTCTGAGCTACCCACTGTGCTCACAGCAGAGCCAGTGTCAATGAGAGGAATGATGCAGCTCTTGCTGGACACTCGTAGGCACCTTGTTGGCCACAAGGGGGCAGCTCTGTTGCTTGCAAAGGTTCTTGGGAAGTTCCAGTCATGTTCGAGTAATGGTGTAGCCTAAACCCCTGGACTACATGACGCAACGTGCAAGTCTGCCAGCCGACAGGCCAAGGAACTCGCCGGCCTGCCACCTGTAAGAAACACAGCAGTCCTGCAGCGCCAGAAGGCCCCGAAGGCGGAGGGCGTGTACTCACTCCCAGGATGCCTCCGCACTCCCAGCTTCCTGATCTCGTCGTACACAAAGATGAGGATTCCATAGGGCAGTGGGACAAACCACCACTGCACTCTGCGCGGGGGGGGGATGCAAGGAAGAAACCATGGTTAGAGAGCAGGGGAGGGACCCTCTCGGATACTGAGTGAGGCTGGTATGTGCCGCCGTGAGCGCCGGTCACGCCAAGCGGACAGGGACTCACCGGATAGGCATGAAGTTGAAGATGTTGGGCATCCCCGGGCAGTAGCATAGCAGGTTGCCCAGACATAGCTGGAAGACGATGGCAGACACCAGCACCTTGTTCCTGAGAGAAGAATCAACACGCACATCATCAGTGACAGGGGCCCCATCCACGGCTTCCCAGGCCCCTCTCCCCACCCATGGCCCATTTCCAGTCCTCAATCCTTTGCTGTTCATTTTCTGTTCATCGTATGTATATGATCAAAATACAAACGTACATGAATAGTCATGCACTTCTGCCTCACAGCACTTGGGTCCTGGGTTCAGTTCCTGGGGTGCTGTCTATATGGAGTCTGTATGTTCTCCCTGTGTTCACATGGGTATCCTCCAGGTGCCCCGGTTTCCTCCCACAGTCCAAAGACATGCTGGTGGGTTAACCGGTTTCTGGAAACACTGGCCCTGGTGTGAGTTTGTGTCTGTTTGCCCTGTGAGGGACTGGTGTCCTGTCCAGGGTGTATCCTGCCTTATGCCTGTTGCTTGCTAGGATAGGCTGTGCTGGAAGAAGTGGTCAGAAAGTGGGTGGATGAAGAGTCATTTCAGGATGTAACCTTACTATCCAGAGGCATTTACACAGAGACTGTGTGAGTCTCACTGCCAAGAGGAGATTCAATTTGTTGTCTTGTGTAAAACAAGGGGGCACACAGAGGTTCCCTCACTTACTAAAGGGGTTCACACAGGGAGTAAGCAGGGGGTTTGAACTCCTGACGAGTCTGCTATTGCACTGGTTTAAAGCAGCATCTGGGGGTCCGCGTGTCTCAAAGATGTAAGACAAGTGGACAGAGTGAACTGCAGACTCAGTGGATCAAGACTTTAGTAGCTGGAGACACAATTCCTGGTGGCTTCGTCAGCTTTCTCTTCCCGGATGTTACAGGGCCGAAAGTGTCCCAGGGGTGAGAGAAGGAGGGGCGCCCCCCCCCAGCAACCAGGGCAAAAACATTCCAGCTCATCCCTGCTGGCCCAGAGCACCAGGCCTGACCTGCACCAGTGTGTGGTGCCTGTGGCGTTCCGGGGACCCCACCTGAAGAAGCCCTGCTGGAATACAGACAGGCGGCGGGTCTTCCGGATGAGCACATCGGAGATCTGGCAGATCTCGATGCTGACGAAGAAGACGGTGTAGCAGGTGTACTCCTGATAGAGACGCTGGCTGAAGGTCTGGGTCAGGGAGAGGGGAGACAGAGGTTAACACACTCCCAGCTGGCTCGGTACACTCCCGTCTTTATCGTCCGCCTCACCTCCATGTCCAGCACAGTGTTCAGAAAATAGCACTGATGGTGTTCCTGCAGGCTCCGCTTTGTGCTCGGTATTGTGCCGATGCACATTTGCTAGTTTTAACACTGGACACTAGCAAGTCAGCAATACCCCCATCCATCCTAACACCCAGCCAACACGGCTCAGACTGAAAGAAGCACGAATACATGTTCCCCTGGTTTCTGAACAGGGGCTTTCACTTGCTAAATACTTCTGTGAAGATACTGACCCTCTGTGAGAGGTGATGGATGACTTCACAATGTAGCCCCCAACCTGTTTACTCCCCTTTTCATTTTTTTTGGAGCCCAACCCACTTCAGAAATTGTTCCACGGAGCATTGCGAGATGCCCTTGTCTCCCCTGAGCCCCAGTGTGAGAGAAGCAGTATTCCCAGCCCTGCTGTCAGTGTCCCGGACAGTCACGGGACGTCCAGACTGTCCATCTCACCCATTCCTGTCCGTAGCTGTCCTGGAGATCCTGCAGGTGGGTGTTCTCCCAGTAGGAACGCAGCCCCACACACAGCAGGGGGTACCAGCCCTCCTGGGCCATGGCTGTGAAGTAATCTGTGAACCCAGCAAAGGACTGGATCGCACCTGGGAACGAGACAGGACAGCTCTCAACTTAGCAGACATGTACACATGGGACAGCACACAACACACACGGGTCTAGACAGACACACCCCTGCCCAGGACTTCAAATAGTGGGCAGCTCATACCGATCTAAAAACTGGGGGTGGTCACCCAGTTAAACAGACATTCAATGTGCTGATGTATAACAACGGACTAAACCATCTGGAAACAGGGA